TCAGTTACCCATTTGCTTATGCCAGACACCCTGGAGTCATTTCCCGTACCTCTTCTCCCTCATCCTTCTATCAGATCCATTGCCCAAGTCCTATCAGTTTTATCTGCAAAATCTCTCTCAAATCTGTCAACCGCTTATCACCATTGCTACAACTCCAGTCCGAGCCCTCTATCTTTACTCAGCAGATTCCTGCAATAGGCCATTCTGCTTACAGCCCCCAATCACCTCCTGTTGCCCTCAGGATAACAGTCAGAATCCTTACCACTCTGACCCAAGCATTCTTCTCTCAACCTTGTCATGTGCCATGCTATCCCTTACTTTCACAGTTTTCTGCCAATTCCTTGACAACACCAAGTTCCTTCCTGCTTCAGGGTCTCCAAAAATATTCTGTTTCTTCTGCACAGACTGTCCCGCCATCCCTCTATAGTCTTATTTTCTTTTTGGACAGTCTTGGTATGTCACGGTCCTCCTGCCTCAGCCTCACAGCTGGGACCAAAAGGGTATATTATCATGCCTGGTTTTTAGGGTGAGCCAGGAATTTAACCTGGGTTTCCAACCCTACCAGGTGGCAGTGCCAACCAGTGCACACTACTGCAACTGGGCTACTCTTTAGTCTTGTAAGACTTTATCGGGGGGACCAGCTGCCGGCATAATGGCTATGTTGCTGGATTCCCAGGTACCCGACCAAGGTTCATGTCCCAAACCCAGCGGCTTAAACTCACGCCGGGCGCGTGTGTGTGCATGCCCAAGATCCCGAGAGGAGAATGGAGGAGAAGGGATTGCGGCATGGCCATCCCCCCTGGGGGGTGATTTCTCGCTTTCTGTCTTGCTGTCTGTCTTTTTGGCGAGTGCATGTGCCCTATAGCAAAAACCTCTCCAAAAGAAAAAAAAAAGACTTTTTGGGGCTGGCAGGTGGTATGGTGGTTAAGGCACTGGACTCTCACATGGCCAACTGCAATTTGAGTCCTGGATTTGGAGGTTTGCTTTCACTTTCCCTTTCTCTTACTCACTCTCTCTCTTTTCTCCAGTCAAATTAAATAATAATAATGACTAAAATTAAATAATTGTTTTTTAAAAAGACTTTATTTAGGCCCCCTGTGGTAGTACAATGGTAACATAATGCTCCACGGTGCTGAGGCCACTTGGGAAGGTCCTGGGTTCATGTTCTGAGTCTCCCTGTGCACACTGAGCACTTGTGCAGGTGTGCTCGAGCCTGTGGTCCTGGCTGACTGAGGCTGGGAGTGCCTGTTTCTCTATCTCTGTCCCCCTCTGTCTCAGGAGAAGGAAATGAACATGTTTTTTAAAAATAATTTAAATAAGGAACCAGTGTATGATGTAAAGGTTACGTCATTGGATTCCCACGTAGTTGACCACAGGTTGAGTTCCGGACTCAGCAGCTTAAAACTCACGCTGGGCGCATGTGCGTGCGTGCCCAAGATCCCAAGAGGAAAATGGAGGAGAAGGGATTGTGGTATGGCCATATCCCCTGGGGGGTGATTTCTCGCTTTCTTTCTCTCTCTGTCTCTTTCTGTCTCTCCAGTGAGTGCACACACCCTATAGCAAAAATCTCTCTTAAAAAATTGAATTTATATGAAATTTCCTTGTAGGCCTTGCAAACGTATGCTCATGGTACCCTTTATTTCTCATCCATGCCATTTACTACAACTGTAACCAATGAAATCATACAACTATTTATTTAAGAGACAGTCCGCAAATCAGACTCCAAGCTCTTTGGGAACAGAGATCCATCTAACTTATCCCTTCAGTCCCAATTACCCAACAGGCCTAACACATAGTAGGTGAAATAAATTTACCAACCTGCGTATAATTTCAGAGACCCTGTCCTCGTTTAGCTGTCACCATCAATAGGGAAAACATCTCTCATCAGAAATGTTTACTGGCACATTTCAAATCATTTCGAGGCAGCCTATCTAAGGCCATCGCCGCTAACCGGTCAGTATATATGTCGTTCCTGGGACTGGCATCCTCATCATCAGCTATCACTGACACAGTGATAGCTCAAAACTTCATTCAAATAGCTAAATATCTTGGATCATGGATTGTAGGGACAAAAGGCTTCTACAAACTCACAGTCTGTTTTTATTTTCTGAAGTAAAACTGATGACATAGACTCTACATATTTAACATTCAATACCAGTGTATTTAAGAAGATGGGAAAATTAAGTTGCTACATTATACAATTATTCTCTAATATTTCAAAACAGTTCATGTTCTATAAAGCAAACGTGACACTCTGAATTATACAGTATTTATCATATTAGGTACTGGCCAAGCAAGTATTGACAAGCAGACGGCAAATGAGCAAGGAATTGGCAGAGGCGTCAATTCTTCTTTGCCCTAGAGATGAGTGCAGTACAAATCTCAAAGACAGCCCCTGGAATAGAATCCAACGCCCCCCCATCATAAGTCATGGTATGAAATGGAACATATGTTTCCCATTAGAACAACAGAATAACTGGAAGTCCTATTTTTGACAAAGCACTCAATATAAAATAAATCTGAGCTAGATGAATGTGATAAAAGCCAAAATTAAATGAACATAAAGCCTGTAATATTGTTAAATTGTAAAACTGTGCTTCAAGTTCTATGACATGAATATAAACACACTATATGATACAAGGGGCCCCCGGTGTTACACAGAAGCATATGTGAGCCCCAAATGAAAGTCAATTATATCACAAATATGAAATTGTAGTAACCCTGTCAATCGTGGTCAAAGTTGCCTTGAAAAGCATGAATTTGGATCTCACTAGGCTGCAGTAACTTTTCTCTACCACTAGATGGTGATATCAGCTTCAGAAATCGAGGGAATAAAATGGAAGCTGTGTATGTTAATCAGCATACAGTGTATTAATCGTCCTTCTTAAATATCTCAAACTTCCTGCCCTAGTACAGTCATGTACTGTATTCATCAGGTCTTGAGTCTAAATCCTCAGTTTAACCCGTATGGCCACTACAACCTTTAGAGTATCAAAAAAATACACTTAAAATCTACAGTAAAGAGAACCCTTATTCTTAAGGTTACACAAATGGTGTTTTGTTTCAATTCTAGAATTAAGTGAGGAAAAAATGGAAAGAAAGCATTATAAAGGTCTTTCAGTGTACTCTGTCACCTCAAAAATATTCTGTTATTATTTATCCAGCCTGTCTACCTTATGCACTGGTTTTTGCTAAAGATTGTATTTTTAACTAGCACTTTAAAGTATTTGGACTAATCTGGAGGCCAGAGTATAACTATTACTATTTTGTATTATAAACGCCAAGATCAAAGAGGTCAAAAAGGACTACCAGGATGGTGGGTGATTTCTGACTTTCCCTGTCTCTCTCTCTCTCTCTCTCTGGTGAGTGCATACACCTTACAACAAAAAATGAAACAAGAAAAAGCCACCCATTTTACAATGCTAACATGAATAATTCTTTTTAAAAGAGATGACTTTCTAAGACAACATAAGTAACATGTTATTAGAAGCCAACAAAAAAAATCTTTTGAAGAGGTTTTTGCTATAGGGCGCATGTGCTCGTCAGACAGAGAGAGAGAGAGACAGAGAGACAGAAAATGAGAAATCACCCCCCAGGGGGGATGGCCACGCCACAATCCCTTCTCCTCTCCATTCTCCTCTTGGGATCTTGGGCATGCATGCACTTGCACCCAGCATGAGTTTAAGGCACCGGGTCTGGGACTTGAACCGCGGTAGACAACATGGGAGTCCAGCGACATAGCCATTACGCTAATTGCTGGTCCCAGAAGCCAACAAAATTTTTAAAGTTCTCTCGTCTAAATGAGAGGATAGACAAGTTTCGATGACGTAAAAGCCTTTTAAATATTGGGTCATTGGGAAAGTCATAATGCATTTTTTTTATAGAAAAACACAGAAAATACATCATGACTTTCCTAATGACCTCATAGCTGGTAAGGGCATCAAAATTATGTTTGAAAAAGTTGGAACAAATCGGAATTCCGTTTGAGAGCTTTCCCACACCTTTACAGACAAGCAGAGCTTGGCAACTGTATAGAAAAAGAAAACAACTAACTGGTTTTGCATAAATTTAGGTGGAAACAAACTACAAAATTACTATTAAAGTTTTCATTTTACAATTTTTTACTTACAAGTATGTCTGTATTTTTTTCTTAAAGTACTACAATTTGAATAGAAACTGAACAGAAAGCCTGGTAAGCACAAAATGTACTAGTATTCCCAAGTTCATGTGTCAGGATCCCAATTACAATCCTTAAAAAATCATGCCAACCACGCACACTTCCCAAGAACTTTAGAGTAAAAGTTTTCTTAAAAATTCAGATCTTGGGGGACCAGCAGTTAGCGTAATGGCTATCTCGCTGGACGCACACATAGTCGACCATGGTTCGCATCCCGGACCTGGTGGCTTAAAACTCACGCTGGGCGCATGTGCGTGCGTGCCCAAGATCCCAAGAGGAGAATGGAAGAGACGGGATTACAGCGTGGCCATCCCCCCCGGGGGGGGGTGATTTCTCACTTTCTGTTTCTCTGTCTCTCTCTGTCTGTCTGGCGAGTGCGCATGCCCTATAGCAAAAACCTCTCCAAAAAAAAAAAAAAAAAGAAAGAAAAAAAATTCAGATCTTGGGACACCCCTGTAGCCTAGGGGTTTAAAGGATCTGGATCCCACATGGCTGATGTGGTTTGAATTCCGGCATGCCAGCCATATGTGCATGGGTGTCTAGAATCCCAAGAGGATGAAGAAATGGAGGACAAGGGATTGTGGTATGCCCACAGCCCACTGGGGATGTTTTTTCCCTCTCCCTGGTGAGTACGCATGCCCTCTGGCAGTTAAAAAAATTCATATCTTTTCCGTTATATACATCAGTTTGTCCTATCGCTCTTCTCAATTCTTCTAAATGTATGATACTGAGATATGCCTTACAGTAAAAGTTAATATGGAACAATTTACTCATGTTTTACTCAAATTTCTTCTTGAAAATCAAAAATGATTGAATGACCTACCTTCAGAGTTATGTGCAGTTTTCTTGTGTTTTCGGCAATAAACCCTATAAGAAAATGAAAAAAATAAAAAATTATCAGGTGAGCAAACTAAAATCATATTTCAAGTTAAGAAAATGAATAGTACATTTTATCCTAATCACAAGCTAAATTAAAAAAAAATCCTATTACACTTCCTACACCATTTTTCCAAGTATTAAATTCCTTATCAGAGGGACCAACAAATGGCATAATGGTTACATCACTGGACTCCCATGTAGTCGACTGTGGTTCAAGTCTTGGACCTGGTGGCTTAAAAGTCACGCCGGGTGTGTGTGCATGCGTGCTTGCCCAAAATCCCAAGAAGAGAATGGAGGAAAAGAAATTGTAGTGTGGCCTTCCCACCTCCCACCTGCTTTCTGTCTGTCTGTGTCTCTCCAGTGAGCACACACCCTATAGCAAAAATCTTTTAAAAAAAAAAATCCTTATCATAAACATCCTTTATGATGATGATGAATGCTTTTTTATATAAAAGCCTAAAAGAATGACTGTTGGGCCAGCAGGTGGCATAGTGATTAAGCACAAGACTCCCACATGGCTGATAGCAGTTCAAGTCATGGACCTGGCAACATGCATTCTCACCTCTCTCTCGCTGTCTCTCTCTGGTGAGCACACGTGCTCTGTAGCAATTAAAAATATAATAATAACAAATAAGATGAAATTAATTTTTTAAATGACTGAAAAAAATTAAAAGAGAAGTTCAATAATTACATGTAAATTCCTTGTGAAGGTTTCTCGCGTATTTGAGCTTTATCATGCAATGCACAGTGGTAGTGGTATGTCCTGTGACATGTTTTCACATCACAACCAATTGTTGCTCCAGGACAATGGCACAAAGAACACATCTACATCAAAACAACAAAGGAAGAATATTAGTATGGATTCTCCTAAGGCTGTGATGTTATGTTAGCAGCATATCAATTTCTGCCAAGGAAAACAAATTGGTTACCGAAAACTTTAGAATTAATAATGCTATTTTTCTTGTTTTATTTCCTAGAAATAATTTGAATTAAATTCTCCTGGGGGCAATTTCCCCCATGTTCAACACCGACGAAATTAATGGAATATTAATATTATTTCACTGTGGTCAGGAGAAATTCGGAACTACTGTGTATCAGGAGAGTGATCTGTATAGCATTATGAAAGAGACCCTTTTTTGTGCAATCCAGATCTTTCTTGGTATGAGTAACCAGGGGAACTGTCTCATATCAGAAAAAATTTTGCCTTAAAATTTCCACTTAATTGATGAGATATTGGGCAGGTGAGCGGGGGGAACTCGCATACTGTTTAGGAACCGAGTGAAACCAATTTAAAGTGAGCAAATAAGAGAGGATAAAATAATTTGGTAGTTTTTATTGTTTTAATAACTTGAGCTCTGAGAATATTCTGTGATGTGAAGTTGATTACATTGTGAAAATATTCTCATCTATTTCAGTCTAATCTATGTCACTTACCTGTGGCATTATGAATTCAGGCAAACAGATGAAAGAACAGGTTCTTCCAATGTATTTGAATGTACTTTACCTTCTGAATTTACTGGAGAATTCGTGTTGATTAACTAGCCATGCTCTAAATTTTTAAAAAATCTTTTTGACTGTTAGTGGTTTTGATACACACACCACAGTGGACTGTATAAATTGGACCTTGTAATGAGGCTATCTCCTGAGCTATAAATGCCATCCCAAAATAGATTCACAATAAGGTGAACTTTAAAAACTGCTCATTTGTTTCTTGTTTGCTAGATGGCTTGTTCTAAACTGTTCTCATTCTTCTTTCTTAATTTGAATAAGAAGAACATATCCCATCCTAACTTTTAGATTACTTTTGCCTTTAAGCAATTTTGGTATACCAAAAGGCTAGTATAAATTCCAATAAAATTTCTTACATTTCTCTAAGCAAGTCAAACACTGATCCAACTATCATTTCAAAAAATATTGATACATAAGCTAGAAACAGAAACATTCTCAATACAGGTACTTCCCAGAAAATATAAGGCCACTACCCATCACTAATACTCGAGAAATACCCATTTCCTTAAATATATATAGAAACTTAAAAGTATTACCATAAAAAAAAGAAATACTGTGCCACATTATCAAGTAGAGAAAGCTTCTGGATGGTTTATAAATCCTAAAGGGAGGAGAGTATTTCTTCTGTAGCTTAATTATACACTTCTATAATTTTAATAAATTACATTTCTGATCATAAAACAGAAATGTAGAAATTTTGGAAAACACAAAAATGCTTTTAAATTGCCAAGAAGAGAAAACTTATAGTGTTAATATGCTTACATGAAAGTAGTTTTCTCTGTAATTCTGCATACTGTTTTGCAATCCAATTTTATTCACTTAATAAATTGAACATTACCCCACTTCATTAAGAACTCTACTGCAAGTAATTTACCTTAAAAATACACCTAAAACAGGGAATCAGCAGTTAGTGTAATGGCTATGTCGCTGGACTCCCACGTAGTCGACCGCGGTTCGTGTCCCAGACCCGGTGGCTTAAAACTCACGCCGGGCGCGTGTGCGTACGTGCCCAAGATCCCGAGAGGAGAATGGAGGAGAAGGGATTGCGGCGTGACCATCCCCCCTGGGGGGTGATTTCTTGCTTTCTGTCTCTATGTCTCTCTCTGTCTGTCTGGCGAGCGCACGCGCCCTACAGTGAAAATCTCTCCCCAAAAAAATAAATAAATAAATAAAAATACACCTAAAACAGATAGGTCCATTCTGAAATAATAAAGCATTGCATTCAATGAGTGAGCAAAACTGAAAGGAGATGCTGGTAAAAATACTATATTGAAGGACCAGCAGATGGCATAATGGTTATGTAGCTGGACTCCCAGAGTTGACTGCTGTTGGAGGCCTGGACCCAGCGGCTTAGAACTGGTGGTTAAGCACTGGACCCCTACATGGGCGACTGTAGTTTCAGTCCTGGACCTGGCAGCTTAAAAATTATGGCAGGTGCATGTGCATGTGTGCATACCCCAAATCCCAAGATGAGGATGGGGAAGGGACTGCAGCATGGCCATCCCTCCCTCCCCTAGGGGAGGCGGGGAGTGATTTTTCAGTTTCCCTCTCTCTGTCTCCCTCTGGCCAGTGCACATGCTCTATGGCAAAAACCTAAAAATAATAATAAAAATAAAAGTTTATACTGTCTGACCCAGCAATTTTACTTCTATAAATCTCATCTGAAAAAATAATCAGACTTAAACAACATATGTACAAATATATTCATTGCAGAATTATTTCGAACAACCCCCACATGTAAAACAACCCAGCAAAAAGAACTGAAAAAATGTTTATAGTACATCCGTATGAAGGAATATTCGATAACCACTCTTTTCAAAGAAATTTTAATGGCACACGAGGTCTATGTATAATGTTAATTGACACAAAACTATATCAAGTATGTGAATTATGACCACAATTATGCTTATAACACATATTCTATGAAAATAAGTGGAAATAAATGTAGCAAAATACTGAGTGGCTATCTCTGGGTAGCTTGTTTTCTTCATAATTCCTTGTATTTTTTTATTTTATACAATGGACAAAAGTACTTTTATATGCAAAACATACTTAAAAACTATAGTGAGAAAACACTAGCAAATGCTTTCCAATACTGCTCTCTCAATTTCATGAGAACAAGGAAAGCTATGGCCCAAAATATATCAAAATCTTTTTGACTGGTTATAAATTCAAATCTGCCTAAAGTAATTGGTTTAAGCTGCTGCTATGGTAAAAAAAGAAATCCATTTTGCAAATAACCAATTAACTATAGCAAGTTAGGATAAACTTTTTTTTAAAAGTGCACTTTGTAATGCCAGTTTCACTCGAGGGAAAAGACAAATCAATAAAAATATTTTCAGAGAGGGACAGGTAGAAGGTGTAATGGTTACGTCACTGGACTCCCATGCAGTCAACCACAGTTTGAATCCCAGTCCTAGTGGCTTAAAACTCACACCAGGTGCATATGCCTACATGCCTAAAATCCCGAAGAAACTGGAAGAGAAGGGAATGCAGCATGGCCATTCCCCCTTTGGGGTGATTTCTCACTTTCTATCTCTCTCTCTCTCCAGAGAGCACACATGCCCTTTAGCAAAAATCTCTCTCTTAAAAATACATATATATATATTGGGGACCAGCAGGTGGCATGGTGGTTAAGGTACTGGACACTCACACATGGCCAACCACGGTTCAAGTCTCAGACTTGGTGGCTTGCTTTCCCACTTTTTCTCTCTTCCTGGTCAAATTAAAATAAATGAGTGAATAAATAAAACAAAAATAAAATAAATAATTAGAAATATATATATTTATATTTTTTTTTCCAGAGAGTGTGGAAAATTCTTTTCAAGGTTGGAATTAGGCATCGTGCTGCATTAGAATCCACAGATCTATACAGTAGCCTCATAGATCAGTGGTTAAGGGAACTGGATCCACATCACTGGCCACATTTCCAGTCCCAGCCCTAGTGACTGAAGAACATGCTGGCATGTTTGCATGAGTGCCCCAAATCCTGACAGGAATGAAGAATGGAGGAAAAAGGACTGTGTCTTAACCACGCTTCACTGGGGAGGGGGGGGAAGGGTGCTTTCTCTATGTTGCTCTCTCTAGCTCACATGCTCTCTGATGGGTTTTAAACAAAAAAATTATCGGATCTATTTATGTAGCATTCATACAAAAGCAGTCAAACTTGTGGCAAGATACTAACAAAATAGCAAAAATTACACATAATGAAACTAAAACACCAAATTTACTTTTGCCTGCTTATTGAAGAGTATAAAAAGGGAAAATAACTGTTACCTTTAAATCTACTATGTAATCTTCCAACCACTGAAATAATCCTTCTTCTCTGAACTCCTATGGGACTTAAGATATATAGTGTTCACCTTAGCTCTTAACATTTTATTCCCATTATATGACTAATTATCATCATATATAGATATTATGTAGCAATTACTATGTATCAATTCCTTCTGCTGAATTTCTTTGAAGACTAACAAAACTGTTAGTGAAGATTTTAATAGCTTACAGGATATTTTTCTCATTCATGTTTCTACTCCTTGTACAGTTTACATGATTATCTTCAGGTGCTTCTAAGCATGTTTAAACAGTGGGCCCTAGGATGGGGAAAGATGAAATTAGGGAGAACAATAGTGTTGCAGAGGCCCAGAGTGAACAGTCAGTGACAAGAATGTCTGAAGGAGATGATTGGCCCTGCTAGAAACAAGGCTATGAGAACTAAGAAGAAATAAAAATTAAAGAAACCAGAGAAGGAACTATTACAGCTGTTGTTTTTCTTTTGTTGTTACTGTTTTTGTTTGTTTGTTTTTGTTTGTTTTGTTTTAGTTTTCCTGTAAGGCCCATAAGCTTACCAGAGAGAGAGAAGTAAAGAGGGAAAGTGGGAAATCAGCCCATGACAGAATGGCCACATCACAATCCCCTCTCCTCCACTCTCTTTCTAGCACTCTAGCACTCTGGGTACACGTGAATGTATCCCATGTCATTTTGACGCTGCTGGGTCAAGGACCTGAATCTCAGTTGGCCATGGGGGATCCAGCCACCCTCACCTCCATGCTACCTGCTGGCCAATGGACTTGGTAGAGTTAAAAAAAAATGTTATGGGAAATAAAAATAACACAAAGAGATTTTTCCTTAAAAAAAAGTGGAATAATTGGCAAATGGGACACTGTTCCTCCCTCAAGCTAGGTACCACTTGGTTGGACCCCATAATAGTATCTGTTGATAGTATCTCTGTTTATATAAAACATTTGCTCTTCAATTTGCTACAGTCCTTGCTGGGCCCTCAGCAGAATGACTGTCAGCTGCCACTTATCATGCTT